TCCAAAAAAGAAAACTGTTCAATTTGCAGTTTTTCCCTTACATGTACTTGAAGTATTTCTTGTGGTTTGAAAGGGGAAAGTGATGTAAATTTAAAAAAAATAGATTTTAATCTAAAAATTGAATAAATCAAAAAAAATTTTAAGAAACTAAGATAAATTATATACCCATTGCACTCGAAAATTTAAATTATATGCAAAATTTGATTCAATAGAATGATATGCCAAGATAAGAGTACATAATTGCTGTAAAGTTACTACATGTATATACTATGATTTAAGGCTTGCTAGTAAAAGAACTTAATATAGACAAATGAATAGTAAAATATAGCTACAATGTAGACTGTGTCTGTATTAAACATAGACAATGCAATAACAAATAAAAAATCAACAGTATAACTGTACATCCCACACTTGAAAAACAAAATACCATGAGTTTGTTTGTTGTTGGTTTTGTTTTTTGCTGATTTTTTTATACAACTACAGCAATTTACTTAATGTCTGTCATTTGTTTGTTGCCTCTTTAAATAAAATTGTAATTTGAATCTTACATTTTCTATATTGCAAAACTCTGATTTTGGTCATTTAGGAACTGGCCAATTTTACAATTTAATAGAAGCCAGGTAATTTTTAATTAAATATTTTAAATAAAATATTCAACTTCAGCTAATATTTTGTTTTCAAAATCTGAATTTTCACAATCAGATTATGGTTTTAATTAAAAAATCACTTCAATCTACCAGAAAAATTCTTGTTCACTGGTTTGAATTAAACAAACATGAATGTAAATTTGACAGTTTCAATTTATTTCCAAAAATCTTAAATGTAATATAAATAATTTTTATTTAATGCATATTCCCTACTGTATTATTGTAACAAATGTCCCAGGCTAATTTAGAAGTTGAGTTAAAAAATATTATAATAGAATATCCTTCTTTAAATTATTATTTGTTTTGTTTTTGGTTTGGTTTTGTTTTTGTTTGTGTTTTTTGATTTTTTTTTGGCAAATGATTACAATATACAATTAATTTTATTTGATAATTGCTGCCTTTTCATTAACAGAGAAATTATTGTGCCGGCAGTGTGGTCATGAAATTACATCATCTGATCATATACACAATATTGGCAGCAATCTTGCCCTGAGACAAAGAAATGACACGATAGTGGGTGACAAAAGATGTCTTGTACAGCTGTTTAAAAATCCAATTGGTAGGTCAATATGTACTGTCTAACACCTGAGGTTAATCTTTAATGTCTCATATTGCAAACTATCTGTTTCTGTCTCATTTGGCCATGCCCTACTTGTCTTTGTCTCCTCCTCTTGATCCCCACTGGGGCACTGGGGGACAGGAGGGCCAGCCATGTCCTAGCATCTATGTAGTAAATTACCAGTCCCTCACTCTCTCCTTGTCCCCTGGATATCCCCTACCTTGCCCCATCCTCTTGTTCACCAACCATACCCTGCCTTGAATAGTAGCTGCCCTAGCCTCCTCCACAGGCAACTCTTTCCTCCTTTGGGCTTCCTTTGTAACGGTCATTTTGGCCGTTAGGGACTAGTGACGTCTCGCCCCCATTCTCCCTCTTTTGACTCCTCAAAAAGACAGGAAGCCCATGATTCTTAGTGATGCCTGCGGAGGAGGCTATAGCTGCCCCTCCTCTCTGTCTTAAGATTAAATGTGTTGTGAATGACAAGTATTATTCATTAAATCTAGGTCACCATTTTGAATTAATTACAGCAAAGTCAGCTTCTCTTCTTCTGCATGGCAAGGTATGGAATTCGCTATAATGTGACTTTGAATCTATGAGACTGGGCATGATTCAAGACAATGCCAAGCAGCCAGTCCTAATTAATTGACACATCTTGTTTTGTACTTATTAAGTTAAACAATGCAAATGTACCCAATGTACAAAAATGACGTTTTTAGGCACACTTAGAGCATTCGTGGTTTCCTGAATATGCATGGAAAATTGCAACATGTCCACAATGTGGAGTTCACTTGGGATGGTGAGTAATGCAGAGGGGATCTGTCGAAACATGTGATATTATTGAATATTATAAACAGGCTATAAAAACAACAGAAGAAATATTTCTACTTGAAAGAATAAGGAAAGATTATTTCTGCCATTTACAAATATGTAAAGCAGGGCATGCTGGATAGGATCAGGGATTCATATTTTACAATGAGAAATCAAAATTTTAGCTAAGGGGATTGGCTAGTGATATATGGCATCACCTCATTTTTGGGTACTAAAACTCAAGGATTAAAAGATGTTACCATGTCACAAACCTGTGTAAAGAAATAATTATTGAAAAAATATATTGTAAATATAAGAAAAGGAAAGGAAGTAGTAAAAATAAAAAAAAGAAAAGAAAAACTGAAAAAAGTGAAGAAAAATAGAAAACAAAGAAAATCTTGGAGAGCGTAATAAGTAGAATTTAAAAATCAAATTAATAAATTATATGTACTAGATTCAAATAACGAATATGAAATTAAATCAAATTGAAACAGGAGCTTTGAAAACCCAAATCCGCCACCAACAAAACCTACTGCAGAGGAAAATACAACCAAGAAAAAAAAGCAGCCATATGCTTTTGTAGGACTCATATTTCCTCATCTTATTCAGGAAAATTGTGAGTGGATTTGCATGAAGTGGGTTATAATGTCTGCTAACAGAATGTAGTTTATAATCTGGTGAAAGAATTGTCTCATCTGTGTGGTAATGTGCCTTTACATTGAAGCAAGACCACCAGTCAAGTTGCAATGATATCATGGGAAAATGAATAACTATAGCCTATCATTGGAAGTTCATTTTATCATCTTGCTTCAATATAAAGACACATCTGCATCTACCTTTGAGTCTCAAAATAATGCAGTGAACCAAGAAAGGGACTACTGTGTATTTCTACTGTGTAAGCTCTGTGTAAGCATTTGCCTTGCTGATGTACATTGTACATGTGGCTCATGTTTGGTTGTCTTGCTCTTCTTGTACTGTATTTTTCATCTCTGTACTGTTTTGTTCATCCCYCTCACTGTTTGTCCTGCTGTCTCTGTCTCACTGTCTTGTTTGTCCCATTCTCTTGCTCATTCTGTTCACTAATGTTCATTCCTTTCTTGTTTTTTTTCTCTCTCTCTGCCTTTCATTTATTTTTCCTTTTCATATTTCCATAATATTTCTTTGTTCTCTCTTTAGATGCTGATTCTTTAATCGTCACTCCGAAGGCATATAGAGGATAACAAACTGACCCAAACAGATCCACTAGTTTTATAGATTGAGGACTAACCCTTCCATTTTCTAATTATTAAAATAATTCAGACATATTGAACTTGTATGCTCGAGCTGGTAGCTTTAAATATGAAAAGCATTTTTAAGACTATAGACTGAATGAGGTCTCTAAAAGTACACCTTGTATATTGAAAAAGAGTGGCTATTTCAATAGCAAATGCTATTGTAAATTCAATTTAAATGACTTAAAGTTGTGTTAGACAAGTGAGTAAGTATCATACTGATGCAAGATGCAAGTGTTAACTAAAAGATAACTTGCAAAATGCTAAATGTTGTTTTGAATGTATGGGCTCTCTGTGGTTGATTAGATCATTCTTTATTATTTTGTAAGCAGATCTTGTGCCACTGACAACACTTTGAAGGGTGCACCATATTTTCTATAGACTACTGACAGTTAACTAATTTAATATTTTTAATATTAAATTTGATTAAAAATTTGATGAAAATAAAATATTTAATACTACTGTCTACTCTTTATTTACCATGTCTACAAATCCACTTGCCCATCTTGAAAGGTCGGCCTTCAGATAAAAAAAATATGGATGAAAAAGATTGAAGTAGAAAAAGACTTTTAATTACTTGCCATTCATACCTTACTCCATATAAGGCTCCCATCAAGTTTCTTGAAGATATATTTCATTTCATCATCACTGAATACTTGTTCGCTAATTTCAGATGGAATAGGCTAAAGTGGATTGATATAAAAAATATTATAAAAAATAAGAATTGATACTATGTATTATACACCAGTAGCTTTGTAGTATTGCTATCACTTCAAGTACACTTCTATTAAATGTACATCAAGGTGTTATTTTAACATGTTTTTTAGTTTTCCATGCCCAACATGACCCTTTGTTTGTTAAGTCRTGAAAGTTTTAATTGACCGATGCCAATTAGAYGTGTCAATTATACATAATGCAATTACAATGTGTCCAGTTATAAATAATAAATCCTTACCATTGCCTTTGATTTGGGAGGAACAGAGACTTCTCTGACAATTTTCATCAAAATTGATGCCAATACCTAAATGAATACAAGTAGATAAGATCAAAGTACATTCAGACTTTATTTAACACTTACAGTAGCAAATGAATRACAGGGTAACAGGACTGGAAATACTATAAGAATAYAATATATCTAATAGGCAGTGAAATACAAGACAAGAAAGCAKCTTTTAAATCTTGTCATGCAACATTTGGTAGCCTTCTTAGTTGGTTCAGTTTTGGAGGAGTCTCRAAGCCAGTTTGGTCAATATTTGCAAAAATTACATTACATGTACCAAGGGCGGATCCAGCTGAAATTTTAAGGGGGGGCTAAATGGTTTTAGAGGTCTAAATGGGCTTTATTTGTTATAAACAACATTGAAAATAATAAAAATCAATTTACTTTTTCTGCTCAGAGGAGGGCTACAGCCCACATTTGCCCCTCCCTGGATCCGCCCTTGTGTACATGTATTGTCACTTGATCAAACAAACTAGTGTCACTCATTAAATCCTAATGTTCACTTTCATCTGATACTTTCATTGTACCTTAAGGTTAGTCTTTGCTATAGCACTGGGTGAATTAGGACATAATCCTGATTCCTCTGGTTGCAATAAGATTGATGRCACTAGACCTCTTGATATAAATAAACCAACAACCAATAGTACACCAGTTGACTTGTCTTGATGGGCTATTGATCCTTGGTCAGTTAATTGAAGTTTATTCTGTAAACAAATGGTCATTGTTTTGATGTTATGCAAGCCTTTTATGCTTCAGTATACCTTTCAGCAATCTTCAGAATTAGTGCATTCATGGTACAAGTACTAGCAATACACTTGCAGCCAGAAATCAAAACCATGTGCATTATTTTCAAGAAACTAACAGCCTGTTGGTTCCAAAACACTTAAAGTTGATTGACAGTAGATTTAAATCTCACTAATTGCATGTCATGAATTTTGTTGCAGCTGGTCACAAAGCAATTTAAATGACGGGTCAATGTTTTTTCTTATAAAAGACTGCAGTA